CCCCCCAGGTCCAGGATATGCACCCACCCCCTGCAGAGGGCAGCTCACACCCGAACCCAGGAGGTAGACCCCTTCAATCTGGGATGGAGAAGAGCAAATAGCCAAGTCCCAGCTCGGGCTGCACCAGTCCGACCGACCAGCCCCCCCGCCCCAGCAAAGCCACGCCCCGGACCACCCCCACACCCAACCAAGGCTGATTCTCAAGATAATGAATTTGACATCAAGTATTGTTAGTAAATTTGCTGTTTTAATTATTTTGTTGTATTTTACTCCAGTTTCATGGGATCATCTTCCATAAAATGCCAATGAGGAAAAAAAACTAATAGTGGTTCAGTTAAGTGTTCAGTTTTTGAACAGATGTTTGGATCCGAGTTTATGACATGGAACGCTATTCATTTCATAACTCAATAGATGGATGTATGGAAAGCCAAGAGAGTCATAATACATGTACCTTGGAATGCTTTTTGATACTGAATAAGCTCCACCTCCTCCGTAACATCTACTCCTGGCTTACACTAATTTCATGTGAAAACAACTGACATCTTACACCTGGCTGAMAATGTAACAGTTTGAGTTTTAACAACTAAATTTTGTTTCTGCTTGGGTAAAGGTCAGCAGCCTGTATTTAAATTTAGGTCAATTAAAGTCTATGGGATTCTTTTCAAAAGTTTGAAGAAACACTTTTTTATATTACAGTGAGAAAATTCAGTTGGACTCTATGCTAATGTGCAATTATTACAATCTGCACATTCAGTGTAAAAAAGTGTTAAAATGAGCAGATAAGTTTTCGTTACAGTTATGTTGAGTACTGCATTTATTCTCGTGAGTGTGTTCCCATCGTTCAACTTACAGTATGTGAACGGTAAAGAAAGAAAAATCCTCTGTTTAGATAAGCTTAACCCCCACTAGGTCTCCTCATTGTGGTGTGTTGCCTTTTCAAGGTCAGGGAAGTGTTTTGTCTTACAGCATTTTATCACCACATTATCCAAGTGTGGAAGAAGATGAGGAAACAAGCCTGTGGGTTAGCGCTCACTGGCAGAGCTTGTTAAGCCCCGTGCAGTTTTTGATGACAAGCCATGAGTCACTTTAATGGTGCTCGTGTTCAAGCTTTTTGCCACATGAACTTGAAGATCATTAGAGTCTCATCCTCAGCTCCTAATCCTTTCCTTCTAGCCGTGCCAGCTAACCTTGTAGCTACAGCTGCTACGGAGCAAATCCTCACCCCGTTATTCTTCCTTTCTTCAACTTACATAAACAAATCTACTGAAGTGAAGCAATTCCTGCTGTGACGATTACGTTTTCTTTTTTTTAACTTACTTTCTTTATTTGCTACTTTTTCATCACTTTGGTTTATTCAAACATGAAGGAGTTGAAGTGATCTGTCAAAAGGTTCTAATGAAACTTTCATTTCTTAGCACATGTGTCAAACTCTGGGCCTGTGGGCCAAATCTGGCCTTCGTTACCATTTTATCTGGCCCCAGTGGTAATTCTTAAAATGTGAAATTRTTTTATAGGTTCTCTTTTTGCCAATGTATGCATTTAGTGCATTCTTCTCTTGACAGTTGACCAACTTATAAGCCAAGAAAATTAAGTTTGAATTTGTCAGTAATCTGATCTTGGTGTGGAAAGAGCAACAGAGAATCAAGGTTAACTATAAATTTGTATATTTTCTTCATATTTTTAGTTCAAATAAATGGATTTTTGTGAGGTTTTCTTTTTACTCAGTTTTTAAAATTGTGATAAAATGTATCTAAGATATTAAATGAAGGATCTTGTTAAGATTAAAGCATATGGAATTAATGCCATTTAGTTTTTCTAAATTTGATATTTTTCTGTATCCACAAGGTTATTTATGTTCTACACACTACAAAAA